AGTCGGTCCACAGACGGAAACCGCCATTACCAGGACACCCAACAGGCGAAGGCCTCTCTAAGTCCTGTGATTTTAATTTTAATTTGACTTAAAGACTAAATGACTGACTGAACTCAAAGCGGTTTTCCCCTGGTAATAATACTCCATTCTGAATAGGTATTTTTAATCGTACATGGGTGACATGTGAAAACCGAAATGTACCGGAAAAACTGCGCTTGAAGATCGATATGCAGCACTTTTTTGTTTGTGCCGCTGGTTTGTATGAGCGCGCCACTTTTAAATTGCCGCCTGGTGAGCGTGGTTCTGTGGCTTTCCGCTGTGTTATTTTTCTCCGTATAAATGAAGGTCATTAAGTCCAGTGAAAGTGTAAATATTCCTCAGGGCGTTGAAGTCAAGTCGATCCGTCGAGTGGTTTATGTTAAAGGCCCTCGAGGAACCTTGAAGCGAGCCTTCAAACACTTGTCTGTGGATATCAAGGTGACGCCCAAGCGCCTGACCGTGACCAAATACTTCGGGGATCGTAAAGAATTGGCTTCCGTCCGCACTGTCTGTTCTCATATAGAAAATATGATTAAAGGTGTCACAAACGGATACCGGTACAAAATGAAGTCCGTTTACGCCCATTTCCCGATCAATATGGTTGTATCCGGCGATGGTTCAAAGCTCGAGATTCGAAACTTCTTGGGGGAGAAAAGCAACAAATGCGTCAACCTTGAGAGTGGCGTTAAAGTGTCTCCGACGGGCGTGAAGGACGAAATTCAACTCGAAGGAAATGATATCGAGAAGGTTGCAAAGATGGGTATGTTCCGTTCGCTTATCGTTACGATTTGTCTTTTTAGCTTCTCAAATACACCAGTGCTGCAAAGTACGCAATAAGGATATCCGGAAGTTCTTGGATGGAATTTATGTATCCCAGAAGGGTGTTATCCAGTAATTTGGGATATTAATAAAATCGTGAGGAAAAGTGCGTTTTTTTCTTCGCAGGACTTTTAGATAACGTGGTGGTTTGATCGCCAATTCCGAGGTCCGCACGAGTGGTATCAAATGGGTCTGATTCTGCACAAACAATCAATAATTAGTAGGTGTGAAAGTTCGATGCAAGAATGGAATAGCTGAGTAAGGAAACATCGAGATCTGACTTGAGAATGGATACTGATCATTGTATAAGACTAGTTTCATCCGATTCAGTGATGCTGCTAGGACCCCCAAGTGTTAGGCGGAGACTACTAGTGTCGATGCAATTGATTTCCCAGAGAACTCGACGGATAACTTTCCAGCTTGAACAGAAGAGTTGGTTTCATCTGAGATCTGAACGTCCGCAATTCGGCGAGAAAATAACACCTCAATGATAGAAGTGGTTGGAATTTACCATCAGGTAGGCACATGGCTCCGACAAATTAGGATGTTCAGCGAGGATGAGCGCGAAGTGACTGGATAGGACAACAAGAATGTCAGGAAGTTGAAGGATCCCACCCTAAGCATACCATTTCGGACAGCCGTCACTCAGGAGTTGTTCAATTGAATGACGCCAGTACCAATGTAATCATCTTCGAAGCGACCCATCAGTGCGAACACGACAGTTAAATTCCTAAACGCTCTTCGTCGGCGAAGTGATTAGGCTGTACTGTTGCTGAGATTGCTTTATAAATGGAAACATAGGTCACTAGCTCGGTTTTGAGACACGTCTATCGGTAATTCCTTTAGTGCGCCGGAAACGTTTTTATTGGGAATCATCTTTCGATTGGAACTTTTGAAACGACAGCCACTAGGCACAGCAAGCCTTGTACAAGGCATAACTGGGATTAGCCACAATTAAACGTGGGAAGGCGAATCATTCGATGGCATTTGAACTAGGGCTGACATCGACGGGAGGAATGTCTATCTCGAAAGCAGTCCGTATCCGAGGTGACTATTGCCTATTAAGCGCACGAATTTCTTCAGGTGTCAAAAGACTGGCCAAAGTGTCTCGTTACGATTAGCCATCTGAATGCTAATGTTTACAGCCACGCCCCCCCGTCGACAAACGCCAATTGAATGCATCCTGATTGGGGAGACGTAGAGGAGCGTTCGCTTCTCGCTTCTCTCTCGGATGCGATATGAAAGAGAACGTTTTCGCAGGTCATGAAATACTGCCCTGATATACGTTCCAATATTTATGCTTTTAATTTGTTCTCAGTTGTTAGTTTGTGGCCATCTGAGTCCTGGATTAGTACAACCAATTGTTCGAGGTTGTTGTTTCATTGGTTTTCGTTCGCGAAATTGTGCTGTGAATGGGGCTAATCCGGAGTGACCTACGAGCTGGTATAGATCTTCTCTTTCTCTCTCTCTCTCTCTCTTTATGTTCGTTCCCTGTTTCTCGTTCTTTATGATTAATTGTTCCCAGTGTGATTTTTCCCTGGGGTTAGTGAGATGATTGTTCGTGCGCTGTTTTTTTCCAACATGTTCCAGGCGTGGGGTATTATTGGGGTCTTGTGATCAGCTGTACGGTTTGATGAATCGGAGATGAATTTTCCTCGTCATTGATCTACATCCGTTTCATTGTAATTACTTTTGTCACTTTGTTGTCTTTTTTCGTTCTGAGGGTTTGTATTTTAGTGTGTGGTAATATCCGCTTACTATTATTATCATTGCTGTAATGATTAAGAATCAGGAAACGTATATTTCGTCCACGGCCTCACCCGCGTTTTGGGTCCGCCGCAATAACCGATCCCTCCGTACGACGGGGGTCTCTGAATGTGCCAAGATTTGTCGCCGGGTGCTGTAGATGTCTGAAGGAAGAGTTCTAGCACCTACCCTGGTGCTTCTCCCAATTCTCGCGGCGTCCTCGCTTAGAAGGCCAACAAAGAGGGGCCCGTGTTTTTCGGGGCCGATGTTCGTGAGGTACAGCGATACCTGAAACTCCCAGCTGTCGTGGTCGTCATTCGACCGAAACATTAGAGGTTGTCGTGGGAAAGGCTTTGGGTTTGCCGAAAAAACTCTCGACTTTTTACCCTTTACCGGTCCAGATGTCAACATCGGAGGACTGTATGCCATCCTGCCAGCAGGGCCAATTGTAATGAAGCGGGCAAATTTGATTACTCACGGCACGGACCATGCGCAACACGCCACTATCACCGAAGACGCGAGAATAGAACGCGCAACGGCTGGGAGCGAACGGGAACTATATTATGATCGATTCGTAACAGGTCGATAAGATCGATAACAACGAAGAAGTAACTTTGAACAAGGTGCGAATGTCAGTCACCGTTTAGGGAACGTTCTTTGGTCGTTTTCGCGTCGCTGGTCACGCTTGAAATGGAAGTAGAGAGAACTCCGTTTTAGGGGACGTGTATAGCCCAGTGTAGTTTCTGTTCCGATACAATGCATCGTCTGTGGACCCGTTTGTTGCAACTGCGGTCTGTCCCACCAGCGTAGACGCCACTGATGATAGGCTTACATCATTTCGATGTCTTCGGTTCTAATTGGCCATGTTTGGCCGGGTTTTGTGGGACTGGATTGAATGATGGCTCTGTTATTGAATATGTGGTGCTTCGTTACTTGGAACACATGTTGCGGATTAGCGCGCGCGAGTGTGTTTGCTGGAGTTGTTTTGTTTACGTGCATGACTATCAGCTGTGCGGAGAGAGCGGATTATCTTGTGTGACGAAATTGCCAATTGACCCGGGCCGCATAGCTGTTCGAACGGGTGTTTGTGTTCCGAAGGATTTGCCTATATTATGCTTTTTGATTACGCGTCGTTTTTGTCTAATAGTAGGGGATGAATGAGCACCTGGTCAAGCTGGTGTGTGGTTGTTATGTATGATTGTGATGGAACAAAGCGGTTTGACGTGAGTTTTGCGAGCACATGATTTGCGTTAGGATTGGCGTGATATTAAGCCTAGTTGAAGCGCGGCTATTTCTCATTAGATTTGGGTTTCGGTTGTGTAGTTCGAGCTTGTGAGTTTGAAGTCCGGATTACGGTGGTGTCGGCGGCTTGAGCTGCATGCTTAATGGTAGCCCGGGGCAACATCTGGATATGGGTTTTTACGTCTTACCCCGTCTGGCTTGTTCATTTTGGTGAACAATGATGCCAGGCAGTTATGGTACGTAGTTTGAAGCTGATTGGTCTCTCGAAGTCGTCTGACTGTCGCTTCTAACGAAGAGACAGAAGTTGGAATGTGGTTTGTTTGTTTGTTTGCTTGTTTGTTCATTGGATGATAATTTTTGCAGATTTTGGCGTCAGTTTCCTCCAGGAAAATCAGCGACTGTTGCTTCGGCACAGAGCTCGGTTCCTGTAGGTTGTTTTGATGTGTGGGGGTTGTTAATAGTTTTCGCGTGATTATCGTGAGTGTTTGTACGATGTGTTGTATGTTCCACTACCACTATGATGGTTTCTTATTGTGGTCGATGCGAAGTTTCGTGGGCAGCTGTTTTCCGGATAGTCCGAATAGATTGTTGAATGAATGTTTTTTCAATTCTAACATAAAGTTTTGACTTCCTCCCGTTTGAAGCATCGCATACTTCTTCGAGGATGGTTGGATTGAAAGTTGCTCAGTTTGGGAATGACGTTGCAGGTTCCGTTTAATTCTCCATACACATATACATACATGTAGACATGTATTTGTGTGCACATGAATACTGATGCCCATTCCACGGATATGTTATTTGGAATGTACAAGGGACCGACGATTTGACTGCTTCATAGTTGATTAGCTGTAGGTTTTGTATATTGTCCCCCTCACACATACACACGCCTATTGAATGCATCCTGATTGGGGAGACGTAGAGGAGCGTTCGCTTCTCGCTTCTCTCTCGGATGCGATATGAAAGAGAACGTTTTCGCAGGTCATGAAATACTGCCCTGATATACGTTCCAATATTTATGCTTTTAATTTGTTCTCAGTTGTTAGTTTGTGGCCATCTGAGTCCTGGATTAGTACAACCAATTGTTCGAGGTTGTTGTTTCATTGGTTTTCGTTCGCGAAATTGTGCTGTGAATGGGGCTAATCCGGAGTGACCTACGAGCTGGTATAGATCTTCTCTTTCTCTCTCTCTCTCTCTCTCTCTTTATGTTCGTTCCCTGTTTCTCGTTCTTTATGATTAATTGTTCCCAGTGTGATTTTTCCCTGGGGTTAGTGAGATGATTGTTCGTGCGCTGTTTTTTTCCAACATGTTCCAGGCGTGGGGTATTATTGGGGTCTTGTGATCAGCTGTACGGTTTGATGAATCGGAGATGAATTTTCCTCGTCATTGATCTACTTCCGTTTCAGTGGAATAACTTTTTAATATGTTAGAATATTTGTCGTACTCGACGCACATATTCGTTAGCGGCGCATAACCAGGAACGATTTCAAGGGAGTCAAGTTTCTTCTCCGGTCATCGTATGCTGGCCGTTTTTTCGCCCGCTCATCTCTGTGGATATAATACCTGTGTTTTGCGTTTTTATCTTTTCGGGCCCGTGCCAGACTATTCTAATACTCCAAATACTGTAGTCGACACATGCATCGGTATATTGGAGAGAAACGCGGTCGAGGATATTCTGAACTGCGTCTAACCCTGTTTCAACGCAATGGATAATATGCAATGATAGCTGAACACGAATTCATCAATCGCGATCAGTTCGATCGCGGTAGTTTATCGGAATTATTTATTCGGCTTGAAGCTCACTCTTGTTGGTTTTGTTTTCTGGTGTGCAAAGTGCAAGAAACGTGTTTCCACTCATGTTGGGATCTATTTCTAAAAGTAATAACTGGCTTCCAGCCACAACTAGACCATCGACTCCTACTGGTAAAAAATAGGAAGTCAAATGTGCAAAAATATTCAATAACTACAAATTGCATAAGTATGCTGAGAACAAACACTTTCGTTGTCCGTCAGTGTCCTGGCAAGGTAAGGCGCCAAAGAGTTTCCCTATGCAGATATCCGAGTTGGGATCAGTCTGTATTCGGAACGGGT